AAAATCGCCCGGAGGGGAAATGATTGAGGTTGTGATCGATTTGACAGGTATCTACTTGTTTATATTCCTGGATCTAAGTATGCACTGTCCGAGTCTCGTCGTTCCGTCCTACCAAGAACCGTATGTGATCCCACAGTTCCAGGAAATACCCACATTAAATTTAATCACTATACAACCGATGTGTATGAAACCTTTTACAAGACAGATAAAGGGAGATAAGATGGCATAATACCAGGTTATCTCCCTTACACCAATCTCAGTTGTATCCAGTGGCGTGGAACATATGCTGCCGACCTGTTGCTGCACACAGAGATGTTACAACTATATAGCCTTTGAATGGCATCTAGAAGTGATACACATAAGGAAGAGAATTTATGGATGTCAACTACTTTATAATGAGGAAACACGACCTTTCGGAGTATAAACTTACTCCTTCATCAGGTGAATGAATGCCTTGAGGCAGAGAGCATCTATAAGAACATGTATAGTTGGGAGCTGGCCGCCCTTGTTAGTGTCCAGTTAAGTTGACATCCATAAATTTGTAGCGGCCATAAAATTTCCGAGTCCCGTGATGGGATTCGAACCACGGACCTTCTGATCCGAGGTCGGACGCCTTGTCCACATGACCAAAGAGGTTAACCCCGCTCACACACATACAGCAGGTGCTGCCATTAGGACAAGAGATGCTCACACACATACAGCAGGTGCTGCCATTAGGGTAAGACATGCTCACACACAAATACAGCAGGTGCTGCAAACAGGGCAAGGCATGCTCACACACATACAGCAGGTGCTGCCATTAGGGCAAGACATGCTCACACACATACAGCAGGTGCTGCCATTAGGACAAGACATGCTCACATACATACAACAGATGCTGCCATTAGGACAAGAGATGCTCACATACATACAACAGGTGCTGCCAACAGGGCAAGGCATGCTCACACACATACAGCAGGTGCTGCCATTAGGGCAAGACATGCTCACACACATACAGCAGGTGCTGCCATTAGGACAAGACATGCTCACATACATACAACAGGTGCTGCCAACAGTGCAAGGCATGCTCACACACATACAACAGGTGCTGCCATTAGGACAAGAGATGCTCACACACATACAGCAGGTGCTGCCATTAGGACAAGAGATGCTCACACACATACAACAGGTGCTGCCATTAGGACAAGAGATGCTCACAAACATACAGCAGGTGCTGCCATTAGGACAAGAGATGCTCACACACATACAGCAGGTGCTGCCATTAGGACAAGAGATGCTCACACACATACAGCAGGTGCTGCCATTAGGACAAGAGATGCTCACAAACATACAGCAGGTGCTGCCATTAGGACAAGAGATGCTCACAAACATACAGCAGGTGTTGCCATGAGGGTAAGACATGCTCACACAAATACAGCAGGTGCTGCCATTAGGACAAGAGATGCTCACACACATACAGCAGGTGCTGCCATTAGGACAAGAGATGATCACAAACATACAGCAGGTGCTGCCATGAGGGTAAGACATGCTCACACACATACAGCAGGTGCTACCGACAGGGAAGTTTAACACCGCTTTTAATAGTATTCCAGTCATGTCACGGCGTGTCAGCTTAATGTGGGAGAAAAGCCGAAGTGATGCAGGTCTAAGATGTTTACCACTTCGGTGAACCCACGAGCGCGGGTATGGTGCTGACAAACCTAAAAACATAATCGGGGCGAACCGGGATTCGAACCCAAAATCATAGGTTTCTGGCGTGCCTAAGGGACGCAACTCTGCATAGCGAATCGCGGCGCCTTAGACGACTGGGCCACCCGTACCCGCCGGAATGAAATAAATGCTTAAGTTTTCTATTTACCTTTTAATACCCTACAATTGCATATTAACAGACAAAACAATTGAAGGCAGAACACTACACTAATATAGTAGCATTTCTTTTTTTAAATCAGTCTGAATATGACTGAGGGTTAAACTCTACCCAACGATGTTATGCCGGCTATGATCACCTTTAGTCTAACCCTGTTTTCTAACGTCTAGCCACCACTATGGGTGATGCTGGACCCCTTTAAAGATCAATCAACATGCTTATTTAACAAATATTCATGAAAAGCACGTCGTGCATTCCGCGAAGCTGAATGCGTTTGCGACAGTTCATTTCCCGTAAACAAATATACTGAAACGCAAAAGAAACGTCACTATGGATAGATATATGAGAAATCGCATTTGTCCAAACACTGTAAACATAAAAATGGCATCACAAGTCAGTATCGTGTGTCCGCCACGTGCAATGATGACTGCCGTGCAACGTCGATACATGGTATGGAGGAGGCGGTTGATGAAGGCCTTAGGCACTTGAGCCCACACTCTGAGGAACGCCTGACGCACTTCAGCTGCAGTTGTCGGCCTTGGTCGGACGTCATTCAGCCATCTTTGAATCTCGTCCTACAGGTGCTAATGGGATTTAAATCGGGACTGAGGGCAGGCCACTGCACGGTTCTGATGCCATTCTGCTGGAGGAAGTCTCTTGTTGCTCTCGCAGCAGTGTGGGCACGAGCGTTATCGTGCTGAAACGATGACGTATGGCGTGTGATTGCCTCTCCCTGGACCGATGTTCTGGAAGACCACAGGGCCGACCCTCTGTGCAAAACCAAATCCGCCCCACACCCTGATGCTCGGACCACCCCGATAGTGGCTCTCACAACAACACAAGCATCCGAATAACGTTCCCCACGGCGTCGCCAGACTCTCTCTCTCTCTCTCCCTCTCTCTCTCTCTCTACCATCTGCTGTTGAGATACAGTAACGGCTCTCGTCTGAGAAGAGGACTCTTCTGCACTGCTGGTGGCGCCAATGCAGGTGCTGTGTTGCACACTGAAGATGGCCCACAGAATGGGTCCTCGTTGTGGCCTGTGACAGTGGAGGTGTCTGCTCGTCAATCGTCGACGCACGGTGTCCCCACTAATGTGTCGCTGGTGTGTCCCCATGGTCTTTCGAGCAGTTTCCGCAGCAGTAACAAAGCGATCTTGAAGATGCTGTCGCACAATCTGACGATCCTGACGGTCATCTGTATTGTTGGTGATCTGGTACCTTTGCTGGAGCTTGTATAGGGTCCTTACGTGGACTTGACATGCACTGGCTACTTGCCGGGCGGTTTGTCTAGCTTGCAATCGTCCAAGGGCTTGGTGTCGCTGATTTGTTGTCAATAATTAGCATGTGGTAGCAATTCAATAACGAATGAATGTTATCCGGGAACGCATGTGCATTTCAATTTGCACGTAACTCGCGTGCATCGGGTTACCATGGCCGTTGACGTGATGCGTTTGGGCGATCGGTTTTATTGTCATCTGCTTTGGGGTTTTTAAATCATCAAATTTCATTTTTCCGTACAAAGTAATGTTAAATTTTAGAAACTTTGACAAAAATTACCAAGAGATTTAAATGACAACTTTTCATGCAATGTTACTTGGGGTGACGTTTCTTTTGCGGTTCATAAATACCAAACAGTCACTGAACTGTTTTCCTGAACGTTCCTCCGATACACTGAAATCACGTGCACCGTAAACGTCAATGACACTACATACGCAGGCACATCCATGTCCAGGGGTTCACAAAAGTGGTAACCGTCTCTCTCTCTCTCTCTCTCTCTCTCTCTCTCTCTCTCTCTCTCTCTCTCTCTCTCTCTCTCTCTCTCTCTCACACACACACACACACACACACACACACACATACACAAACTAAACCAAACTAAAGGTTCATATGCGATACGTTTTAACTGCAGTTGTCTTCAATACTGTCTCCGAATATAAAGAAAGTCCATCCCTGTATGTATTAATGATTATGGCTAGACCTTGAGACATGGAGTTGATGGTACATTTGCTTGACCCAGCAATATCTCTCTTTGTACTGACTTTTAGTAAGCTTTGGAATCTAGTGCAAAAGTGGAATTGGCACAGCTGGGTCAGAATGGGTTTATTCAAACTCTGTTTCCGGTTTGTGCATTCCATCAATGACAACATCACCTACTGACCTAGCCCACTCTGCAAGACACCAAACATACTCTGCTGGCCCAGTTTATGGCATTGGCTTCGGCAGCATCCATGATTATTGTGATCCCAGTTGAGAGCAGGCTGTTCACGATATTGTGGGCGATATTTGAATACCTGACATCAGTGACGAATATGGAATTTGTGGCAATTCCATATTTGACTTGTACCATACGTTCACGTGTCTGTTTAGGTAAATATTTGACCTGCCTTTGCATGTGTTTGTGACAGGGGCCACCAGTGGAGCAGGATACGCACTCCTTTTCAAGAACACCTGGTGTCATCCCTTATTGATAGTGATTCGTAAACACATGACTTATGATATAGTAGGAAGCGTACAATCGACTAATGGAGTATATATACTTATTCCAGTAAATGGGGCATGGATCACAACAATCATGACAAATATAAAATGGAGAAAGTCTTCTATTACACGAATGCTCGATCATCGAATATCCTTATTGGGCACATAGCTTAAACTTCAGATGATATTTGCTTTCGCCAATTTACCTGAACCTTTGAAGACCATGGTCACTATGTTTAGTGACAACTGGGATAATTGTTGCAAAGTTGTAAATTGTTTTGATATAATTGAACTTGCTTTACGAATACGCTCTCACCATCTCTGTTGAGATTGGTTTTATTTATAAACTGTTCCTTAAAATGTTCTGATGAATAGTTTGTTTTGAATGAAAATGATTTTCTTGCTTTAAAAAACACAAATTGTGTCTTTGTCTTGAAGCGCTGACTAAAAACCATCCTGCGCAAAAAGAAATCGAAGCTGTAGTCATTGTATTCTGGTACGCCCAAGGGATGCAATTCTGCACAACGAATTGCGGCGACTTAGGCGACTAAAGTACCTGTTCAACGTTCTTACTCCGTAGCCGGTGTGAGATGCAACGATATCTACATCTAATATAGTCATAACATCTCTTTAAAAAACACAAATACAAAGATATGATCACGACACATATTTCTTTATTTCCTCACACTGTGATATTACACACAAAATAAACTTAAAAGACAAACAAAGTAAGATGTACAAACATAGATGATACATTTATTCACAGTTACAAATTCTTGAAAACGAGATTATTCGACTGTCTTCACCCAGGCCACAACTGTTGTGGTTGCAGCGTTAGACCGGAATGTTGACGGCGTTGACGGCAGGAACTCCGGTGACACATGACGAGTAGAACGCAATCTGCAATAAGTGGCGAGCGAGTGAGGTTTTGGGGAAAGTCGGGGGTACTTTGGGTGGAAGGATTTATTCTTCTGATGGTGTTCAGTCGAGCCTCACTAAATGTACACTATTACTATCCCTCATAAATTACCAATGTTTCAATAAAATATCATGACAGAAGTCGTGAATATAGTCCAGTACTCTTTACATATCATGTCAATGTGTATATTTATAGTAATAATGTGCATATATATATAATGCTCTTATCCACGCCCTGAACGTGCTTAAAGCGCTACATTATTTACCCGAGTCAGTGGACTCGATTGTAATTCTCAGCTCCATGGGGAGTATACAAACCAAGCTGCCTGTTTGGCGCAAGAAGGTCAATAGTGACATTACCATCTCATCCTGTCGGGTACCCATTCACTGCTGGGTAAACAGGCACATATTGAACAAAGCCACTAAGTCTTGCCTAATTAGACCTATATCCTATATCTGAAGCACGTATCTGGGAGAGGGTAGTCTTTTCATGTGGCCTCTATGGATGTAGCGTATGGGGAAAAGTTCCTCTTAAAGAGTATGAAATGCTTAAAGTTGTACAACGTCAATTTTGTAAAACAGTTCAGGGACTACACAGGCGCACTCCCAGTATTGTTGTATTGGATGCTATCGGCATCATGCCACTACAGTATTACATAGATAAAAGAGCACTCTACTTCTTAGAGAAGCTATGTAATGCAAAGTATAACTGTGTTTTTAAAGTAATGTTTCTAGTTCGCCTGGGTCAATTTATGTGTCGGATAGTTTTACATGCAATGTATGGAGTAGAAAATCTCCGATATATAATATCTTGTCAATGACCGAAATGTACTTATGGACAACATATGTGATATCCTGGATGTAAATGTTTTTGTTAAGACCTGGGAGAAAGATGATGATGTTATTCTTGCGTTTTTACTTGGTGGATGTCCAATAGAATGTATTATGGAATTAGAAAGAGATGTGTGGGCAGAGGTAATAATTAATGTAAGCCGCTTTATAAGAAATGGCGATGTCTGCAAAAAAACTTGTATGTTTATGAACATGTGTAAATATACCCCCAATTCACGTTAAACATGAAACATAATTATATCTGCATATTGTAATCTTCATTCATTTGGAGGAAATAAAGAATATCTATCTGTACTTCACTGTGCGGCAGGTCACGATATGGCTGAAATACTGCCGATGTGACGTTAACTTTTAACTCACTAACTCACTGTGCGGCAGGACCGAATCCTCAGAGACTCTCAGGAGTCAAGCTGCCGGACACGGTGACACACCCAACTACAATGTCCTCTCCAAGACTGACATTGCTGAACTTCACCTGATTTCTGACCTTTGCGCTGTGCACAGAGCCACGTGCCACCATCATATGTCATTATTTTTTATACTTCATTGGGTATAATTAACTTACATTGTCCATCCGTCCGGTGAATGAATTTTCAGCGTTCAGTCCCTTGCCCAGCCTTACGCCGCAGTCGCTTGTCAAGATACCTGCAGGGCAAATATACAGGTAAGGTACACCCAATATAGGTATGGACAGGTACATGGGTAAGGATACACCTAATATAGGTATGGACATGTACATAGGTGAGGATACACCCAATATAGGTATAGACAGGTACACAGGTAAGGATACACCCAATAAGGTATGGACAGGTACATAGGTGAGGATACACCCAATATAGGTATAGACAGGTACATAGGTAAGGATACACCCAATAAGGTATGGACAGGTACACAGGTAAGGATACACCCAATATAGGTATGGACATGTACATGGGTAAGGATACACCCAATATAGGTATGGACAGGTACATACACAGGTAAGGATACACCCAATATAGGTTTAGACAGGTACACAGGTAAGGATACACCCAATATAGGTATGGACAGGTACACAGGTAAGGATACACCCAATATAGGTATGGACAGTTACATTTGTAAGGATACACCCAATAAAGGTTTAGACAGGTACACAGGTAAGGATACACCCAATAAAGGTTTAGACAGGTACACAGGTAAGGATACACCCAATATAGGTATGGACAGGTACATAGGTAAGGATACACCCAAATAAAGGTATGGACCGGTACACAGGTAAGGGTACACCCAATATAGGTATGGACAGGTACATAGGTAAGGATACACCCAAAAAAGTAATGGACAGGTACATAGGTAAGGATACACCCAATATAGGTATGGACAGGTACATAGGTAAGGATACACCCAATATAGGTATGGACCGGTACACAGGTAAGGGTACACCCAATATAGGTATGGACAGGTACATAGGTAAGGATACACCCAATAAAGGTATGGACCGGTACACAGGTAAGGGTACACCCAATATAGGTATGGACAGGTACATAGGTAAGGATACACCCAATAAAGGTATGGAGGCTGTGGATGGTGTCCTTGTACAGGGTCGGTGGATGGTGTTCATGTACAGGGTCGGTGGATGGTGTTCATGTTCAGGGGTGGTGGATGGTGTTCATGTACAGGGACGGTGGATGATGTTCATGTACAGGGACGGTGGATGGTGTTCATGTACAGGGGCGGTGGATGGTCTCCGTGTACGGGGGAGGTGGATGGTGTTCATGTACAGGGGTGGTGGATGGTGTTCATGTACAGGGGTGGTGGATGGTGTTCATGTACAGGGTTGGGGGGTGGTGTTCATGTACAGGGGCGGTGGATGGTGTTCATGTACAGGGGTGGTGGATGGTGTTCATGTACAGGGTTGGGGGATGGTGTTCATGAACAGGGTCGGTCGATGGTGTTCGTGTACAGGGGTGGTGGATGGTGTTCATGTACAGGGGCGGTGGATGGTGTTCATGTACAGGGGCGGTGGATGGTGTTCATGTACAGGGGTGGTGGATGGTGTTCATGTACAGGGGTGGTGGATGGTGTTCATGTACAGGGGTGGTGGATGGTGTTCGTGTACAGGGGTGGGGGATGGTGTTCATGTACAGGGGTGGTGGATGGTGTTCGTGTACAGGGGAGGTGGATGATGTTCATGTACAGGGACGGTGGATGGTGTTCATGTACAGGGGCGGTGGATGGTCTCCGTGTACGGGGGAGGTGGATGGTGTTCATGTACAGGGGTGGTGGATGGTGTTCATGTACAGGGGTGGTGGATGGTGTTCATGTACAGGGTTGGGGGGTGGTGTTCATGTACAGGGGCGGTGGATGGTGTTCATGTACAGGGGTGGTGGATGGTGTTCATGTACAGGGTTGGGGGATGGTGTTCATGAACAGGGTCGGTCGATGGTGTTCATGTACAGGGGTGGTGGATGGTGTTCATGTACAGGGGCGGTGGATGGTGTTCATGTACAGGGGCGGTGGATGGTGTTCGTGTACAGGGGGGGTGGATGTTGTTCATGTACAGGGGCGGTGGATAGTGTTCATGTACAGGGTGGTGGATGGTGTTCATGTACAGGGTGGTGGATGGTGTTCATGTACAGAGGCGGTGGATGTTGTTCATGTACAGGGGCGGTGGATGGTGTTCATGTACAGGGGCGGGGGATGGTGTTCATGTACAGGGGTGGTGGATGGTGTTCATGTACAGGGGCGGTGGATGGTGTTCGTGTACAGGGGCGGTGGATGGTGTTCATGTACAGGGGCGGTGGGTGGTGTTCGTGTACAGGGGTGGGGGGTGGTGTTCATGTACAGGGGCGGTGGATGGTGTTCGTGTACAGGGGTGGATGGTGTTCGTGTACAGGGGTGGTGGATGGTGTTCATGTACAGAGGCGGTGGATGGTGTTCGTGTACAGGGGCGGTGGATGGTGTTCATGTACAGGGGCGGTGGATGGTGTTCATGTACAGGGGTGGTGGATGGTGTTCGTGTACAGGGTGGTGGATGGTGTTCATGTACAGGGTGGTGGATGGTGTTCATGTACAGGGGTGGTGCATGGTGTTCGTGTACAGGGGCGGTGGATGGTGTTCATGTACAGAGGCGGTGGATGGTGTTCATGTACAGGGACGGGGGATTGTGTTCATGTACAGGGGTGGTGGATGGTGTTCGTGTACAGGGGAGGTGGATGGTGTTCGTGTACAGGGGTGGTGCATGGTGTTCGTGTACAGGGGCGATGGATGGTGTTCATGTACAGGGGTGGTGGATGGTGTTCGTGTACAGGGGAGGTGGATGGTGTTCATGTACAGGGGAGGTGGATGGTGTTCATGTACAGGGGTGGTGGATGGTGTTCGTGTACAGGGGTGGTGGATGGTGTTCGTGTACAGGGGTGGTGGATGGTGTTCATGTACAGGGGTGGGGGGTGGTGTTTGTGTACAGGGGTGGGGGATGGTGTTCATGTACAGGGGCGGTGGATGGTGTCCTTGTACAGGGGCGGTGGATGGTGTTCGTGTACAGGGCGGTGGATGGTGTTCCTGTACTTACGACCAGATGTAGCGGAACTGCTCGAGGTAAACTCCGTTCCCGTTTGGACGCGGACACCGTTGACGTCGTAGGTGTAGAGGATGACGCGCCCCTCCAGCAGCCCCGGGGATTGTGTGTACCGCAATGTGATCTCCTTCCAGTCCTGGGAGTTAGTCTGGAGGTACAAATTGAGGGTGCACGTTAACTCAGTTCGTGCAAGTAAATACCGTTCTACATGTTTATAAACGTATTTATTGTGTGATACGCAGTATAATAGTTATGTATATGAAAGAAAAAAAACTGTGTTCAATTAATGTCAAGTGTTTGGTTGCCTATAAGCTAACCAGTGCTCTTGTGCGTCATGCTGACGAGGCTGGCTCAAACAAGTAGATGTGAATTGTTATAATGGTGCTAAAACCGCATCATTCTCTTTCCCGCCACTCACTGATTGTAACAGCATAGGCCTGTAGCATCCTTTATCTCCGACCAATCTACGACGAATGTATATACACTGTGGATCAACGCTAGAGACATGCAGTGGCTTAATGCTAATTGTGTACTTGTACCCCTGTTACTTGAAGACACATGTAGCGCTGTAGCAATGTATCACCGTAGCAGTGTAGCACTGTAACACTGTAACACTGCAGCACTGTAGCAATGTATCACTGTAACACTGCAGCACTGTAGCAATGTATCACTGTAACACTGCAGCACTGTAGCAATGTATCACTGTAACACTGCAGCACTGTAGCAATGTGTCACTGTAACACTGCAGCACTGTAGCAATGTATCACTGTAACACTGCAGCACTGTAGCAATGTGTCACTGTAACACTGCAGCACTGTAGCAATGTGTCACTTTAACACTGCAGCACTGTAGCAATGTATCACTGTAACACTGCAGCACTGTAGCAATGTGTCACTGTAACACTGCAGCACTGTAGCAATGTATCACTGTAACACTGCAGCACTGTAGCAATGTATCACCGTAGCAGTGTAGCACTGTAACACTGCAGCACTGTAGCAATGTATCACTGTAACACTGCATCACTGTAGCAATGTATCACTGTAACACTGCAGCACTGTAGCAATGTGTCACTGTAACACTGCAGCACTGTAGCAATGTGTCACTGTAACACTGCAGCACTGTAGCAATGTATCACTGTAACACTGCAGCACTGTAGCAATGTATCACCGTAGCAGTGTAGCACTGTAACACTGCAGCACTGTAGCAATGTATCACTGTAACACTGCAGCACTGTAGCAATGTATCACTGTAACACTGCAGCACTGTAGAAATGTATCACTGTAACACTGCAGCACTGTAGCAATGTGTCACTGTAACACTGCAGCACTGTAGCAATGTATCACTGTAACACTGCAGCACTGTAGTAATTTATCACTGTAGCAGTGTAGTAGTGTAGCACGGTATCACTGTAGCGGTGTAGCACTGAAGCACCGTAGCACTGTAGCAGTGTAGAAATGTAGCAATGTAGCAACGAAGCCCTTCAGAACTGTAGCATTGTAGAAGTGTAGGCAATGTAGCAGTGTAGTAGTGCAGCAATGTAGCAACGTAGCAATGTAGCAACGTAGCAATGTAGCAATGTAGCAACGTAGCACTTTAGAACTGTAGCACTGTAGATGTGTAGCAGTGTAGCATTGTAGCACTGAAACAATGTAGCAGTGTAGCAATGTAGCACCCTGCAACTCCCGGCAGAGGAAGTACTTTGATTGGCTATCACTGATCACCTCGCACAGTGCAACAGTTCTGTGACGGTATATCAAGGTCAAGTGTGGAAAGAGAAAAGCAACACAGACAGTTGTCAGACCAAACGGGTCTGGTGGCCGCTTCTAAGTGACGTCATGGCTACATGTTGCACGTGGTTTATGAGTAGTGTCATGGTTACATGTTGTGTGTGGTTTATGAGTAGTGTCATGGTTACATGTTGTGTGTGGTTTATGAGTAGTGTCATGGTTACATGTTGTGTGTGGTTAATGGGTAGTGTCATGGTTACATATTGTGTGTGGTTTATGAGTAGTGTCATGGTTACATGTTGTGTGTGGTTTATGAGTAGTGTCATGGTTACATGTTGTGTGTGGTTTATGAGTAGTGTCATGGTTACATGTTGTGTGTGGTTTATGAGTAGTGTCATGGTTACATGTTGTGTGTGGTTTATGAGTAGTGTCATGGTTACATGTTGTGTGTGGTTTATGGGTAGTGTCATGGTTACATGTTGTGTGTGGTTTATGAGTAGTGTCATGGTTACATGTTGTGTGTGGTTTATGGGTAGTGTCATGGTTACATGTTGTGTGTGGTTTATGGGTAGTGTCATGGTTACATGTTGTGTGTGGTTAATGGGTAGTGTCATGGTTACATATTGTGTGTGGTTTATGGGTAGTGTCATGGTTTCATGGTGTGTGTGGTTGACGGGTAGTGCAATGGTTACATGTTGTGTATTGTTGACGGGTAGTGTCATTGTGTACTGATTTCAAACTAAACCGCAAAGCGAAACACAGCAACTCACCGGTGAATAATTGACTGTGACGGTTGCCTCTCCACCTACTGTTCGAACTCCGAACGTGACCTGGCCCGTAGCTGGCGTCATCTTTATGTACACTGATGCTAAAATCCCGGCTTCACTCTTGCCACCAACACAGGGCACGTTGCTGAGGACGACCATTTCCTGAGGGTTCCCAGAAAGACCAATGAGGTCATCCTGCACGTTGACCCGGAAGAAGACCGTGTTTTTGGAAAATGCCTGATCGTTGTTGGCGTAAAACGGAACAGTAAAGAAGTTGTTCTGGCCGGCCAGGCGAATGGTTCCAGCTGAGTATTCCACGTTCTTTACGTCTATCCAGTTTTGTTTACGACTCGACTCACTGAAACCCCATTGGTTTGTCTGATCTGGCGTCACAGTGATGATCACATCCGGACCACATGCTATAAAATAATAATAATAATAATAATAATAACAACAACAACACGAAGAATCATGTCCGACAATAGATCCCACCACCCTCGCTCTTCCCTCAATCGCTTATATTTACCAATTATGACGAGAAGGCGTGGTTTGATTAATGTGGAGGCTCTTCATGATACAATTGTTTTGTGCACTTGTGCACACATTTATTTGTCTGATCTTGATGATCCTCTTGTGAAGCATATCACTCATGATGAAAACAAGGCATTCCACAGTTTTCTAAAACGAGCCAAGGATGTGGGACATAATCTCAATGTCGGTGTTGATTTTGCTGATGGTTCTGTACTGCTGGACGGTACAGAAATGAGTGTCAACCAAGCAAAGTGCCATATCAAATCGGCCCAGACTCAGTTTTTCAAGGAGAGGCTTTCTGAAAGACCACTGCATCGAGTTTATGTGCAGTGTGTTGAGAGGATCAGCAATCCTGCAGAGTCCTTCGCTTGGATGAAGTCGTCTGGCCTGAAAAGTGAAACAAAAGGCTTCCTGTTTGCTGCTCAGGACCAGTCACTTCCCACTCAAAACTGTCAATGTGTGATTTTGCATCAAAATGTGAATATGAAATGTTGATTATGTAATGAATTTAATGAGACTGTCCAACACATTGTGAGTGGATGCCCAGCTTTGGCACAGACACAGTATCTAAAGCGACATGATGGGGTGGCTCGATCATATTATTACCGTCTTCGCCATGCTTGTGGTTTTGACACAGGTCCATCTATAGTACGACCCGGAAAATGTAGAGGGCGTCATGGAAAATGATAAATACAAAATCCTTTGGAATAGGCGCGTATACAGCCTCAGACATATCCAGGCAAACAAACCTGATCTTGTCCTTTTTGATAAATCCAATGAAATCATTTATATCATTTAATTTTCTGTCCCATTTGACATTAATGTGATTGACAAGATTGAGGAAAAACATGGCAAATATGCAGTCCTCGCTTTTCACGCTTGCATCCCAAGTATCAAATTGTCCGACTCCCCATTGTTCTCGGTGCCTAAGGTTTGGTACCTCCCAATCTGTTGACTGACATTGGGAGAATACCCGTATTTGCTACCAGGAATACAGCCCTTCTGACAATCTGTGTAATGCAGAAAGCTGCAGTGTTGGGGAGTCTTCACATTCTCCGAAAAGGTCTGGGTGGGTTTGACTAGGCAGCGCTTCCTTGGAGAAGTCCCATTCGCTGTCTGGGCTGCGTGTAGAGGGGGCAAGGGCCCTGAGATGATGATGAGCCTAACCAGCCTGACTGTGCCAGGATCACCCAAACCCTCTTTGCTGCATTTTTTAATTTTAATCTGTACATAATAATAGAAGGACACGTGTTTCTAACGAGGGAAGGTACTTACGTGTGCTAACAACTCCACAGTCCAAATCTTCTACACATCGACATTCCGTTTGGCTGTAGGCGGTTTGTCCGGGGCAGTCCATCTCGATAGCTCTGTTGGCGACCACGACAAGAAACTTGCACTTGTTAACAGGATTCGGTTGGAGAGAGTTGCAGTCTGGAACGAAATAGTTATGTATGCTTGACCACCAGACAAATTGACGTTGGGTTCACAGCAACAATGTTGATCATGATTCTTAAAGAAATTTGGATGCCCTGAGGTATTCGTAATGTTAGCCTCCAAACCGATAGGAAAGTGAAAATAACATACTGCTATCCCGAATGTGTGAGCAGTGCTCCAACGGAATGCCTACTCTAATTCTCCCTATCCCTAACAATAATATTTGCCACATGGCAAGACAACAGACAAACCTGGTACACCGCCGGGCAAAAGAACGCATACGAATTGGATCTGACCCCAAAATTACAAATATTATCAAGACGTTACCAGGTTGAAATCTATCGCCAAAAACACTGCAAACTTAATGTCCAAAACACAACTATGATGCCACTGTCAAATACATCTCCATTTCATGTTTGTTTCATTGTTAGCCACTGTCATGGGTGCATAGTTTCTTTTCCTGGCGGTTTGGTTTGTTCGTATTGTGTCATTTGAGGATGAAAAGAAAACATTACATGCGTGTTGACAGATGGAGTACTCTCACGTCTTGGTTTGTTTGTTGTTTAACGCCGCACTCAGCAATATTCCAGCTATATGACGGCGGTCTGTAAATAATCGGGTCTGGACCAGACAGTCCAGTGATTGACATCATGAGCATCGATCCACGCAATTGGGATACGATGGCATGCATCAACCATGTCAGCGAACCTGACCACCCGATCCCGTTAGTCGCCTCTACGACAAGCATAGTCTCCTTTTACTGAACACATATTCTACCCCGGATCTTCACGGGTCAACACCTTGGTTGATTTGTTTCCGCAACTATTAGTGGATACTCGGCTTGTACAAGGTAGATACATATACTCCCAAGGGTGTTGAAAGACAGAAAGACTCACGGTGGTAAACGGAGTTCTCGCACGTCCCTTTGCAGTTGGTGTCGTTGGTGCACTGCTGGGTGCGCGGGTCGTAGTAGGCGGTGTTGCAGCAGCTGGAGAGCCATGAGTTGGCGGGTCCATCACATGCGTAGTAGCTGCGACACGAAACCTTGTCCTCGTACCGCCGTCGTTGGCAGGTGTTGTCAGGCGTGCAGGTGGCGATGTTGTTGTCATATCGTGACCCTGTCGGGCAGCAGTTGACGTTCAATATGGCCTCGCCCTCGACAACGCCGCAGGTGTAGTAGATCTCACAGTAGTCGCCGACGGGGAAGTTCTGTTGAGCACCGGCGCAGTTGGCTACAGGGGAAAAGCGTGGTCATTATCATGTCAGAGATCTAGCACCGAGCAGGGCAAGGCTTGTATGTATGTTGCTTCGTTCATTGCATCTCTGACTGTTGTATGTAAGTGAGTGAGTGAGTTGGGTTTTGCGCTGCTTTGAACAGTATTTCAGTTATATCACGGCGTTTCAGCTTAATGTCCGAGTAAAGCTCGAAATGATGTTAGGTATTTACCATTTTGGTGATGGCATGGGTTTCTAGCAAGCCTATGGGATACAACTCTACATATGAATTACGGTGGCTCAGACGGTTGGGCCACCCGTGAAAGCCATCCCCTAACAAACACATGCAAAGGCAAGGCAAGTCTTCACCGAAACAGTCACGAGAACAAGTCAAACTTAGGGGCCTGCATCGGATGTCATTTTGGTCACTGATGCGTCAAAGTTGGAAATGTCCTCCATATCTCTACCAGCAATCCTTCTGAAAGCTTTATTGAAGCGTGGAATGGGGTTAACCTTAACAAACAAGTTTTCAGCTAGAGAAGGACGGTGCTCTTTGTTGGAAGTTTGTAGTCATCCCTTTTGGCATGACATACAGTCTTTTGGCTTGTGTTTTGTCACTTTGCATGCATATATCTAAAGATGAAACAGGTGAGTAGGTTTCTCTGGTCTTTTATTTCCAAATCAGGTCGGTAAAACACTGGAAGGGAATTGGTTATTTGATAGTTATGTGGTGGCTATTTGGATGGTTATTTGATGGTTATATGATGGTTATTTGATAGTTATTTGATGGCTATTTGAATTATTATTTGATGGTTATTTGAATTGTTATTTGATGGCTATTTGATGGTTATTTGAATTGTTATTTGATGGCTCTTTGATGGTTATTAAACGAAATCACATCATTAGCTTACTGGATACCTATAATAAAACCTTTTCTAGTCTGAGCCGAAGTTCTGACTCGAATGCATAAAGAAACAGATCAGAATCCCATGGGGGATACCTACTTCTTTCCTCCGATTTCACACACACAATGTATCTAGGAGGAAATCCAGCTTCTAATATATTGTTATCACAACAAACTGTCTTCTATTTCTAGATATTTTAGGGTTAATCAGTGTAAATGAATTGGCTATTTTACGATGATTTTACTCACTGCATCCACTGGTCGGGTCTCTCAAGATGGATCGGCTGGGTTTGCAGGTGCGCTCTCTGCGATGCCAGAGGGTTCCAATCGGGCAGACCTTTTCATATGCCATCATTCGTTCATTGGGACGCCTCTCACACAGGTAGAACTTGTCACACCTTCTCGGGTGCTCTGTTATACGGCTGCCTCCATCAACGGCGCAACCACTACACACTGGGAACACGAGCATAGGATGACAATGTTAGGTATCACCAATGTATTCCTGGCACATTTTCGAAAAAACATTATCTGCTCTTGAATGAAAATTCATTTCTTAATATGTATGTCTCAAACAAATAAATTTCCATGATGAAGTGGTGTCTCTGCCTGTGTAGTGTTAAAAATCAAGTGGTGGCTCTACCTGTGTAGTGTTAAATAATCAAGTGGCGTCTATACCTGTGTTGTGTTAAATAATCAAGTGGCGTCTCTACCTGTGTTGTGTTAAATAATCAAGTGGTGTCTCTAAACGTATTGTGTTAAATAGTCAAGTGGCGTCTCTACCCGTGTTGTGTTAAATAATCAAGTGGCGTCGCTACCTGTGTAGTGTTAAATAATCAAGTGGTGTCTCTACCTGTGTAGTGTTAAATAATCAAGTGGCGTCTCTACCTGTGTAGTGTTAAATAATCAAGTGGTGTCTCTACCCGTGTTGTGTTAAATAATCAAGTGGCGTCTCTACTTGTGTAGTGTTAAATAATCAAGTGGTGTCTCTGCCTGTGTAGTGTTAAATAATCAAGTGGTGTCTCTACCCGTGTTGTGTTAAATAATCAAGTGGCGTCTCTACCTGTGTAGTGTTAAATAATCGAGTGGCGTCTCTACCTATTTAGTGTTAAATAATGAACTATCTACCCATGTAGTGTTAAATAATCAAGTGGCGTCTCTACCTGTGTAGTGTTAAATAATCAAGTGGTGTCTCTGCCTGTGTAGTGTTAAAAAATCACGTATTCACCCGTGCAATTTTAATTAATCAAGTATTTACCTGTGTAGGCGCAGAGTGACGTTGCAATGTTTACGAGGGCTGTAGTCAGCTGATTGATGCCAGTGAGTTGTGTGGTCTGAGCCGGATCACGGGTGATGTCGAACAGTTCTTGTGCGAAGTTGGGGTCATTGGCACTGATACCCACAGCGAACATGGTGTAGGACGCATCCATTGCTGCTGCTGCTACGGAAGCTGTCTGTGTGGGCAGTTGAGAGATGCCATCAGTGACGACAACGATGCTGCCCGATGTTGCGGGTAAGGGCGAGGATTGGAGCATGTTGATGGCCTCCTGGATAGCTAGGTCAGTGCGTGTTCCAGAGCCGCCCGCGCTCTGGAAGCTGACGAAGGCCGTGAGTGTGTTGGCATCCCTTGTCAGCTGCTGCTGCTGCACGACCGAACTGTCGTAGTACACCAAGCCGACGTTGACGTTGGGGTTGTTGCTGATTATTTCAGTGATGAAGCTGTTGACGGCAGTCTGGATTGCGCTGAATGAGCCAGCAACGCTTTGGGATCGATCTACGACCAGGACGACATTCGACTGGTCAGCGCATGCTGTAAGGGAACAACCACAACTCAACATCCTTTCACTGGGACAACGTGTTATTGTATTGAATCAAATTAATGTCTGACCTTTGTTAGCTTTTAGTTTGCTGATGTAAGTAGAAAGTTTTCAAAAATCTGAGTAAGTGAGTGAGTTGGATTAAACGCCGCTTTGAACAGTGTTCCAGTTATATCACGGCGTGTCAGCTTAATGTGGGAGTAGAGCATGAAGTGATGCAGATCTTGGACGTGTACCCGCGAGCACGACTATGGTGCTGACACAAACAGATCCACAAATGTACAGACAGTTAGGCAGACAGATAGTCACACAGACAGATAGTTAGACAGTCAGATAGACACACAGACAGATAGTCAGACAGACAGACAGACAGATAGTCACACAGACAGATGTCAGACAGACAGTTAAACAGACAGATAGTCACACAGACAGATAGTCAGACAGACAGTTAGACAGCCAGATAGTCACACAGACAGATGGTTAGACAGTCAGATAGTTAGACAGACAGATAGACACACATACAAATAGTCAGACGGACAGAGAGACAGATAGTCACATAGACAGATAGTTAAACAGACAGATAGTCACACAGACAGATGGTCAGAAAGACAGTTAGACAGACAGATAGTCACACAGACAGATGTTAGACAGTCAGATAGACACACATACAAATAGTCAGACAGACAGACAGATAGACACACAGACAGATAGTGAGACAGACAGATAGTTAGAAAGACAGACAGATAGACACACAGACAGATAGTCAGACAGTCAGATAGTTAGACAGACAGATAGTCACACAGACATGGTCAGACAGACAGTTAGACAGACAGCTAGTCACACAGACATGGTCAGACAGACAGTTAGACAGACAGATAGTCACACAGACAGATGGTCAGACAGACAGTTAGACAGACAGATAGTCACACAGACAGATGTTAGACAGTCAGATAGTTAGACAGACAGATAGACACACATACAAATAGTCAAACAGACAGACAGATAGTCACACAGACAGATAGTGAGACAGACAGATAGTTAGACAGACAGACAGATAGACACACAGACATGGTCAGACAGACAGCTAGTCACACAGACATGGTCAGACAGACAGTTAGACAGACAGATAGTCACACAGACAGATGGTCAGACAGACAGTTAGACAGACCGACAGTCACACAGACATGGTCAGACACACAGTTAGACAGATAGACACACGGACAGACAATCAGCCAGCCAGACAGACAGACAGATAGTCACACGGACAGACAATCAGACAATCAGACAGACAGACAGACACATACTGTACAATGGGGCTGGTGTGATCCCGCGGCTCTCCTTCATCAGGGCAAGTAGCACAATGGCGGCCACGAACTTCATCTTCGGCGTGTTTTCCGTCTTTTCTACCTTAAATGTTAAATTGAACAATGTAGTGCATATGCAACACCAGAGAACACCGGTTAACGCCCAATGTCTCATTAGCCTCTGAGTAGCCATCAGGACACACCAGTAGCCCCTGAGTAGCCCCTCAATAGACACTACGTAACTCTTCCGTAGCCCCTCAGTAGCCCCTCGCTAGATCTTCACTAGCCCCTCACTAGACCTTCACTAGACCTTCACTAGCCCTTCACTAGACCTTCACTAGCCCTTCACTAGACCTTCACTAGCCCCTCACTAGCCCTTCACTAGACCTTCACTAGCCCCTCACTAGACCTTCACTAGCCCCTCACTAGACCTTCACTAGACCTTCACTAGCCCCTCACTAGACCTTCACTAGCCCCTCACTAGCCCTTCACTAGACCTTCACTAGCCCTCACTAGACCTTCACTAGACCTTCACTAGACCTTCACTAGACCTTCACTAGCCCTTCACTAGCCCTTCACTAGCCCCTCACTAGCCCTTCACTAGCCCTTCACTAGACCTTCACTAGCCCCTCACTAGACCTTCACTAGACCTTCACTAGCCCCTCACTAGACCTTCACTAGCCCCTCACTAGACCTTCACTAGATCTTCACTAGCCCCTCACTAGACCTTCACTAGACCTTCACTAGACCTTCACTAGACCTTCACTAGCCCTTCACTAGCCCTTCACTAGCCCCTCACTAGCCCTTCACTAGCCCTTCACTAGACCTTCACTAGACCTTCAGTAGCCACTCACTAGCCCTTCAGTAGCCTCTCACTAGCCCTTCAGTAGACCCTCACTAGCCCTTCAGTAGCCCCTCACTAGCCCCTCACTAGCCCTTCAGTAGCCCCTCACTAGCCCTTCAGTAGCCCCTCACTAGCCCTTCAGTAACCTCTCACTAGCCCTTCACTAGACCTTCACTAGCCCTTCAGTAGCCCCTCACTAGATCTTCACTAGACCTTCACTAGCCCTTCACTAGACCTTCACTAGCCCCTCACTAGACCTTCACTAGCCCTTCACTAGACCTTCACTAGACCTTCACTAGCCCCTCACTAGACCTTCACTAGCCCCTCACTAGCCCTTCACTAGACCTTCACTAGCCCCTCACTAGACCTTTACTAGCCCTTCACTAGACCTTCACTAGATCTTCACTAGCCCCTCACTAGACCTTCACTAGCCCCTCACTAGCCCTTCACTAGCCCATATCGCTAGCCCTTCAGTAGCCCCTCACTAGCCCTTCAGTAGCCCCTCACTAGCCCTTCAGTAGCCCCTCACTAGCCCTTCACTAGCCCCTCGCTAGCCCTTCACTAGCCCCTCGCTAGCCCTTCAGTAACCTCTCACTAGCCCTTCACTAGCCCCTCAATAGCCCATCACTAGCCCTTTACAAGCCCCTCACTAGCCCTCCACTAGCCTCTCAATAGCCCTTCACTAGCCCCTCAATAGCCCTTCACTAGCCCCTCATTGGACCTTCACTAGCCCCTCACTAGACCTTCACTAGCCCCTCAATAGCCTCTCAGTAGCCCTTCACTAGCCCCTCAATAGCCCATCACTAGCCCTTCAGTGGCCCCTCACTAGCCATCAGTACCCATCAGTACCCATCAGTATCCCTTCAGTAGCCCTTCAGTAGTCGTTCAGTAGCCCTTCAGTACCCCTCCAGTACCCCTTCAGTAGCCCATTAGTACACCTCAGTAGCCCTTCAGTAGTCCCCAGTAGCCCTTCAGTAGCCCCTTAGTAGCACCTAAGTAGCCCTTCACTAGCCCCTCAGTAACCCTTCAGTAGTCCCCAGTAGCCCTTCAGCAGACCTTCACTAGCCCCTTAGTAGCCCTTCACTGGCCCTTCAACAGCCCTTCATTTCATAAGTTTCGTTAAAAATTACAATGTGGACATATCTACAGAACACATTTTTCATTTTGGCATTTTATAACATCAGCTTGTATCATACGCCTTGCAACGTTTTTAATATGTTTCCTTGAAAGATGGAAACATTAAAAAATTAGTTAGTTCACAAGTTAGTAAAGCCAACAAAATAATTATGTAGCATGTTGACCCAATGTTCATGGGCTGGTTGGAGCACAGGTTATCTCAATGTACGCGTTGTGTAAAGAGAATCGAACACTTCTCATACAAAACACACTGAGTTGACTCGCGCTAGTGGGATATTCCTTGTATAAACCTTCCCAGCTTTACATGTGGCGAGGAACGTTTCTAATACAAATATCATAACACTCAGGATAAATACGCGACTGACTTTTCTTTAAAACTGCCGCGTTGATATGTCTGATAAAATTAATATATTACACTCATCTCTTTTGGAGATGAGTTTCTCTATAATATTTAGAGAGTCATTTGACAATATTTAATTCAAATAAGAATTTTCACAGAAATGTGACATGCATAGTATGCCTTCTGGAAATTAACACATCAAAACTTGATAAATATTTAAAGGGAACCAACCCACCTTAATAGTATATGTCTCTGTTCGTCCAGATACCTTGTGAAATAAAACGTTCTGTCGGGAAGGCCAATCGCACCGAAATGGACTCCCAGTTTCAGACAAGCAGTTAAATAACCCAGGGGAGTGTTACCCAACAGCGTGTCCTTTGTTTGTTTTATTCAGTTCAAATGTTCTTCAAGTAATTATTACTTTCTTCTTTTGTAAAACCGTTGTGACGTCGGAGATAACCTGAATGGCTAACTGTTGATTATAAAAAGATACATAGTAGCCATTGAGATAAGGGTAAATATTGAATTTCCACGATTTTATTGGCAGGCCCTTGGTAAATAGTGTATTGAAAGACCTGGGATGCTGAATATTTAAAACGTTTAAACATAAACTACTGTTAAGTAAAGTCTTGGTGTTATAGAGACCTAGGGACCCTGTACAAATTGAACGATAGTACTCAGAGTTGTTTAACCAGCCTTCCGCCAATCCCGTGCAGAGAAACATTGTTTTACATGCATAGCGGTCCAGATCGCGGGTTATAGTGATGGGTAGGGATGGAGTAATACAGGGACATGTCGGGTAGTGTTAAAACTCATATGAACCATTGCAATAGAAGCTTAATAGTGAAGATGGGTAGGGATGGAGTAACATAGGGACATGCCCTGTAGTGTTATAACTCATATGAACCATTGCAATAGAAGCTGAATAGTGAAGATGGGTAGGGATGGAGTAACATAGGGACATGCCCTGTAGTGTTATAACTCATATGAACCATTGCAATAGAAGCTGAATAGTGAAGATGGGTAGGGATGTAGTAACATAGGGACATGTCCTGTAGTGTTAAAAACTCGTATGAACCATTGCAATAGAAGCTGAATAGTGAAGATGGGTAGGGATGGAGTATCACAGGGACATGTCCTGTAGTGTTAAAACTCATATGAACCATTGCAATAGAAGCTGAATAGTGAAGATGGGTAGGGATGGAGTATCACAGTGACATGTCCTGTAGTGTTAAAACTCATATGAACCATTGCAATAGAAGCTGAATAGTGAAGATGGGTAGGGATGGAGTAACATAGGGACATGTCCTGTAGTGTTAAAAACTCGTATGAACCATTGCAATAGAAGCTGAATAGTGAAGATGGGTAGGGATGGAGTGACATAGGGGCATGTCCTGTAGTGTTAAAACTCATGTGAACCATTGCAATAGAAGCTGAATAGTGAAGATGGGTAGGGATGGAGTAACACAGGGACATGTCCTGTAGTGTTAAAACTCATATGAACCATTGCAATAGAAGCTGAATAGTGAAGATGGGTAGGGATGGAGTGACATAGGGACATGCCCTGTAGTGTTATAACTCATATGAACCATTGTAATAGAAGCTGAATAGTGAAGATGGGTAGGGATGGAGTGACATAGGGACATGTCCTGTAGTGTTAAAACTCATATGAACCATTGCAATAGAAGCTGAATAGTGAAGATGGGTAGGGATGGAGTAACATAGGGACATGTCCTGTAGTGTTAAAACTCATATGAACCATTGCAATAGAAGCTGAATAGTGAAGATGGGTAGGGATGGAGTAACATAGGGACATGCCCTGTAGTGTTATAACTCATATGAACCATTGCAATAGAAGCTGAATAGTGAAGATGGGTAGGGATGGAGTAACATAGGGACATGCCCTGTAGTGTTATAACTCATATGAACCATTGCAATAGAAGCTGAATAGTGAAGATGGGTAGGGATGGAGTAACATAGGGACATGCCCTGTAGTGTTATAACTCATATGAACCATTGCAATAGAAGCTGAATAGTGAAGATGGGTAGGGATGGAGTAACATAGGGGCATGTCCTGTAGTGTTAAAACTCATATGAACCATTGCAATAGAAGCTGAATAGTGAAGATGGGTAGGGATGGAGTAACATAGGGACATGTCCTGTAGTGTTATAACTCATATGAACCATTGCAATAGAAGCTGAATAGTGAAGATGGGTAGGGATGGAGTGACATAGGGGCATGTCCTGTAGTGTTAAAACTCATATGAACCATTGCAATAGATGCTGAATAGTGAAGATGGGTAGGGATGGAGTAACATAGGGACATGCCCTGTAGTGTTATAACTCACATGAACCATTGCAATAGAATCTGAATAGTGAAGATGGGTAGGGATTGAGTCACATAGGGACATGCCCTGTAGTGTTATAACTCATATGAACCATTGCAATAGAAGCTGAATAGTGAAGATGGGTAGGGATGGAGTGACATAGGGACATGCCCTGTAGTGTTATAACTCATATGAACCATTGCAATAGAAGCTGAATAGTGAAGATGGGTAGGGATGGAGTGTCATAGGGACATGCCCTGTAGTGTTATAACTCATATGAACCATTGCAATAGAAGCTGAATAGTGAAGATGGGTAGGGATGGAGTAACACAGGGACATGTCCTGTAGTGTTAAAACTCATATGAACCATTGCAATAGAAGCCGAATAGTGAAGTTACTGGCATGTACATGCCATTTGATGTCTCTTTTATCATTCAATAATACCCGCTAAACAAAGGTTAACAAGAGAAGGCCGCTGACACAGCTCTGACCAAATATGACTTTATCAGATCTTTGTCATATTACATCTTCGACAGTATTACATAAATAAAAGCCACAAAATACTCCATTATCTATTAAACGCGGTCGATTGTACGATTCCGACTATATCATGAGCATGTGTTTCTGAATCGTCTGAATCACTATTAAATAGTGGCGATACGATACGCGAGAAGGTGAGCATATCCTGTCCCACTGGTGGCACTCGTCACAAATGCACGCAAAGGCAAGTCAAATGTTCATCTGAACAATAACATGGGGAGATATGGCACAAGTCAATATGGGAATTTCATCGAACATGTTCCTGAAACGTCAAATTTGAAAACCTTTGGAATTGTGTAACCCCGATCAAACAATTTTTGGCACGACTCGTATAATGCCATTTGAAATCCTCAAAGAAAGGGCACGCTCATCTGTTACTCGAAGATTTCAATATGTAGACAACTGCTGGAGCTGCTGGAATATTGCTCGATATAAAGGTCGACATAAAGGGAAAGTTGACTTTTGGAAAGTTGAAGTGATCCCTCTTATCATAGAGTCGCTTTGGCATTACTTCGCAATGCAGCATCTAGACCGTAGCGAAGTATATATGTTCCTATAATTATGGAAAGGTTTTGTCGTGTCCTTCCTCCTGCATGGACAAGAACAACGGTGAATGTCGCTGCTCTGACTTCTTCCTTTGTGCTTCTTTCCAACACTCAGGTTATGCCCGCGTCATAACTGGGTAAAAGTGTTCATATGGCTCGCACCTCGCATCTCGATCATCATTCCTTGGAAGTCTTGCTTATGATCCTTGCTCTGTCCACTCTAGACTTTGCTCCTTGGTTTCAACCGTGTACGACATGCTGTAAACATATGTCTGTGTCCTTGTAGGAGTTCCGGGCAGGGAAACCACGTCGCTGCTGCACCAATGGACGAACGTTGTGGCTGATGTGGAATGAGCCTTTGCCTATGGATGTTTTGCGCGGGTATAATCCCTTGACGATTAGTAATAAAATTAGGTTTTTGAAAGGCGTTTAGAAGTGATACACATTAGGAAGAGAACGTATGGATGTCAACTTCTTGATTATGAGGAACACAACGTTTCGGAGTATATGCTTACTCCTTCATCAGTTGAATGAATGCCATGAAGCAGAGAGCATATATATGTACATGTACGGGCAACAAAATAAATATGATAACAAAAGGTGGAAAATAACAAAGGGTAGAAACTTACAAGGGGACCCAACAGATGATTGTCGCTGAAAGGTGATTAGCAATAGTTAATGGAAGCCATCACTTCACAGTAACTTGCGCTGATGGTATGGGTGAGTGAGTGAGTATGGTTTTACGCCGCTTTTAGCAATATTCCAGCAATATCACGGCGTGGGACACAAGAAATGGGCTTCACACATTGTACCCATGTCGGGAATCGAACCCGGGTCTTCGGCGTGACGAGCGAACTCTTAACCACTAGGCTACCCGACCGACCGCTGATGGTATGGAAGCCAGTACTTAAGTTATCATAGATAAGTAAGAGGTAATAGACACTGGGCAAACGGGAGGCCGGGGTAATTAACACTGATAGGTGAAAGAGTGGACATAGCAAGGCAATAGAAGCCAGCTAGGTAATTAACACCGACAAAGATCAACACAGGTCCGTGCTAATTACCCCCACCTCCCGTTTGCCCAGTGTCCATTACAGTAAAGTACGGTTATAACGAACTCAAAGGGACTACTAATTTTAGTTCGTTATAACCGTAGTTCGTTATGAGCATATATACAGCATAATACAGCTAATTATCGGGACCAAAAAAGTAGTTCGTTATATCCGTCAGTTCGTTATAAGCGTGTTCGTTATAACCGTAGTTTACTGTACCTATTTCTTATAAAGAAGTTGACAGCAATACATTCTCTCCCTTAGTACTAAAATTGTTTCAAACATCCTAAATATGTCAGAGTGGCTATCATTGACAATTATGTTTATTTATCTTATATAAGCATTTGTTAACCGCAATTCGATGATTGTACAGTTATATTTACGATCAACTATGTCTGCTCACTGATGAGGTTTCTAACACGTGATTACACGTGACAGTAACTTCCCAAAGAACAGCAACTGAATTACGTGAAACATTTCATTTAAGAAATGTTGTAGGTTTTACAAATGTATACGATGATTATTATAGATTATGTATTACTCACCAGCCATACAAGTGTTTCTAATGTATTTAGAAATATATGACAATATTCCATCCATTGTTGCAGTGGCTTGTTCATGTAAGAAACACAAACTGAGAATGAACAATGCCATAAGGAAGTGGTCAGATGTAACGAATGTTATATTTGGGATAACACTTTCTTAGTAAAGTACAAATTCTAACTGCAATAGTTGAATGCAGACCGACCTAAACCGCTACAAAGGAGAAAATGAACACTTGTGAACTGGATTTGCCCAAACAAATGCATACGTTATAAGAACGTTACTAGTCTAAAAACAGTCGCTGAAACACTGCTAACGTAAGTTCCACAGAACCGCGATA